CGGTTTCCCATAAGAATGTATTGAAAACCAATTAATCCGTTCCGAAGGTCAGAAAGAAGCAAAAAACAAAGTCTTATCTGTTCAAAACTCTTTATAAAGTGCACTTTAAAGGCATAAATACTGTACAGGGACATGATTTTAAAAAAACTTTGTAAATGCAATGAAAACCAATTAATCCGTTTGTATTGCGAAAAAAATTCATAAACCGAGGAATTATTTTCAATGGATTTTCATTTGTAAACCAAAAATTATGTTAACCGATGCGTTGGTAAACCGAGGTGCGCCTGGACGTTCATTAACTTCTTGCCGACCGCGCATAGCCGAATGACGGCTTCACCGCGGCCGGCCAGTTCTGAGTGGACGTCATATGACGTCCTCCCAGAACGCGCTCTCCTGCGCGCCCCAGGGGCCCCTACGGACACAGCTGATCACGTGATGTGGTGAAAGGCCGATCCCACCGGCCTTTTACCACGTGATCAGCGGTGTCCAATGACACGCTGATCACAGGGAAATGCAAGTGCCGGTTCTCGGCTGCACTCTCCTCACGCTGTCAGATCGTGAGGAAAGTACTGCCGAGAACCGGCAGTTGTCAGAGCGAGGATCGGCACCGATCATCAGGGCACTGATGATCAGTGCCCTGATGATCGGTGCCCAGCAGTGACACCCGCAAGTTCCGCCCAGCAGTGCGCCCACTAGCCCCGCCCCACCCGTTCCCAGCAGTGCCCCCACCTGTGCCCAGCAGTGCCCCCACCTGTGCCCAGCAGTGCCCCCACCTGTGCCACTCTGCAGTGCCACCTACCTGTGCCCAGAAGTGCCACCTACATGTGCCCAGCAGTGCCACCCACCTGTGCCCACCCACCAGTGCCACCCACCTGTGCCCACCAGTGCCAGCCACCTGTGCCCACCCACCAGTGCTGCCCACCAGTGCCACCCACCAGTGCAGCCCAGCAGTGCTGCCAGTCAGTGCCACCAGTCAGTGCCCAGGGGTTGTGCCAGTCAGTGCCGCCAGTCAGTGCCCAGAAGTGATGCCAGTCAGTGCCGTCTATCAGTACCCATCATCAGTGTCACCTATCAGTGCCGCCTATCAGTGCTGCATATCAGTGCCGCCTATCCGTGACCCCTAATTAGTGCTGTCTATCAGTGCCGCCTATCCGTGGCACCTCATTAGTACTGCCTATCAGTGCTGCCTATCAGTGACCTTTAGTGCTGCCTATCAGTGCCCATCAGTGCCGCCTCATCAACGCAAATCAGTGAAGGAGAAAAAATACCTGTTTGAAAAATTTTATAAAAGAAACAAATAAACTTTTTTTTTTTTTTTCAAATTTTTTGCACTTTTTTTAATTTATAGCGCAAAAAGTAAAGCGCCCAGTGGCGATTAAATACCACCAAAAGAAAGCTCTATTTGTGAGAAAAAAATGATCAAAATTTCATATGGGTACAATGTTGCATGACCGCGCAATTGTCAATCAAAGTGCGGCAGCGCTGAAAGCTGAAAATTGGCCTGGTAAGGAAGGGGGTAGAAGTGCCCGGTAGGCAGGAAGGGGGTAGAAGTGTCCTGTAGGCAGGAAGGGGGTAGAAGTGTCCTGTAGGCAGGAAGGGGGTAGAAGTGTCCTGTAGGCGGGAAGGGGGTAGAAGTGTCCTGTAGGCAGGAAGGGGGTAGAAGTGTCCTGTAGGCAGGAAGGGGGTGACAGTGCCCTGTAGGCAGGAAGGGGGTAGAAGTGTCCTGTAGGCGGGAAGGGGGTAGAAGTGTCCTGTAGGCGGGAAGGGGGTAGATGTGTCCTGTAGGCAGGAAGGGGGTAGAAGTGTCCTGTAGGCAGGAAGGGGGTAGAAGTGTCCTGTAGGCAGGAAGGGGGTAGAAGTGCCCGGTAGGCAGGAAGGGGGTAGAAGTGCCCGGTAGGCAGGAAGGGGGTAGAAGTGCCCGGTAGGCAGGAAGGGGGTAGAAGTGTCCTGTAGGCAGGAAGGGGGTAGAAGTGTCCTGTAGGCAGGAAGGGGGTAGAAGTGTCCTGTAGGCAGGAAGGGGGTAGAAGTGTCCTGTAGGCAGGAAGGGGGTAGAAGTGTCCTGTAGGCAAGTGGTTAACATAGAAAAAGGAAAAAACATTATTTTTTTCCTATTTTAAAAGGTTTACAATTCTGGTTGTGGTTGTTTGAAAAAGCGTGCAAGTCCCTAGAGATTCTGTATATGGCATTTACCCCGGAAGGACTTCTAAAATGTGATCTGATCTTTATTTTGGTTACAATATTAAATATACCGGGTGATTGAAAAGTAACTCCTTATTTTAAAAATCTTATCATTTATTTTTGAATCATTATTTTTACAACAAATGAATGTGAGAAGAACACACATAACATGGAGTTTTATTTAAAATTCTTCTTGAGCGCAGTTCGCACACAGTGAAAAGAGAGGCCACTTTCCCTTGCTGCTTGTCGAGTGGACTTTTTTGGGCTCTGAGTGAACATTTCTTGAATTGTTGTCACTACCTCCGGGCCCCTGGCATTGGAAGGGCGGACGCTTCTTTGAGCATCCATTACAGAACCTGTCGCCGTGAGTTTTGCAGTTCTTGATGGTCTTTGCATCGATCTGAGCATGTTTTCCTTTGATGGTCCTCCACAGGGCGGACTGACCATTTGGAAACTCGGGCTCTGCCCGAGGGCCCGGGGTCAGTAGAGGGCCCTATGAGATGCCCCTGGTACCTTTTTCATAGGCTTTTTTGGGTTTGGGCAAGGACACAGGGGCCCCATGATCCCCTATTGCCCGGGGGCCTCATGAGTTGTCAGTCCGCCCCTGGTCCTCCACCATCTTTGTACTTGAACAACTGATTTTCCAAACTTCGTATCGTGCCGCTAACTGGGCACGCTCTTGTACAGTTAAACGTCTGGATATCTTTATGGGGCTTCGAATTTTAAAACAAAATAATAAATCTGAAAAGAAAAAGAACAATACAGATTTAATTGTTATAGATTAAGGAACATACATTAAGAATTGAGAAAAAAGGAACTTCATATAAAAAATTTATAAATAGTTTAAAATAGGGAGTTACTTTTCAATCACCCTGTACAATGCTGTGAGAAAGTATTTGCCCTCTTTCTGTTTATTTTTTTATTTTTTTGCATATTTCTCACAATTTTAATATTACAAAAATGTAGCCCGAGTAAATGCAAAATGCAGTTTTTAAATGCTGATTTCATTTATTAAGGGAAAAAAGCTGTCCAAACCTGCCTGGCCCTATTTGAAAAAGTAATTGCCCCCCCCCCCCCCCTGCTAAATCATGAATGAACTCTGATTAAACACATTTTCTGGAAAGCCGAACTAAATTTCACTTACTATACCAAGGCCTGCCAGACCTGTTGAATCAAGAAATCACATATATAGAAGCTGTCTAACAATGTGAAGCATGCTAAAACATCTCAAAAAGCAACATCATGCTACGATCGAAAGAAATTCAAGAACAGATGAGGAACAAAGTCATTGCCATGTATCAGTCTGGAAAGGGTCACAAAGCCGTTTCTAAGGCTTTGGGACTCCAGCAAACCACGGTGACAACCAATATCCACAAATGGTGAATATCTGGAACGGTGGTGAATCTTCCCAGGAGTGGCCGCCTACCAAAGTGACTCCAAGAGCACAACGACGGCTCATCCAAAGAACCCAGAACAACATCTAAAGAACTGCAGGCCTCACTTGCCTCAGGTAAGGTCGGTGTTCATGATTCAACAATAAGAAGGAGACTGAGCAAAAATGGCCTCCACGGGTGAGGTCCAAGGCCAAAGCCACCGCTGACCAATACATGAAGCAGGAGAGGCACTGGAGGAGACATGAGGTGGGAGAGGAGCTGGAGGATACATGAAGCAGGAGAGGCACCAGAGAAGACTTGAAGCAGGAGAGGCACCTGAGGAGACATGAGAAGGGGGAGGCACCAGAGGAGAAATGAGGCGGGAGAGGAGCCGGAAGAGACATGAAGTAGGAGAGGAGCCTGAGGAGACATGACGTAGGAGAGGAACCGTACGAGACATGAGGTGGGAGAGGAGCCTGAGGAGACATGAAGTAGGAGAGGCACCGGAGGAGACATGAGTCGGGAGAGGAGCCAGAGGAGACACGAAGCAGGAGAGGCAATGCAGGAGACATGAGGCAGAAGAGGCACCGGAGGAAACATGAGGCGGGAGAGGAGCTTGAGGAGATATGAAGTAGGAGAGGAAGCGTAGGAGACAAGAGGCGGGAGAGGAGCCTTAGGACACATGAAGTAGGAGAGGAACCGTAGGAGACAAGAGGCAGGAGAGGAGCCTTAGGAGCCATGAAGCAGGAGAGGCAATGCAGGAGACATGAGGCAGAAGGGGCACCAGAGGAAACACGAGGCAGGAGAGCAGCCTTAGGAGACATGAAATAGGAGAGGCAATGCAGGAGACATGAGGCAGGGGAGGCACCAGAGGAGAAATGAGGCAGGGAGGAACCTGAGGAGACATGAAGCAAGAGAGGCACTGAAGGAGACATGAGGTGCGAGAGGAGCTGGAGGAGACATGAAACAGGAGAGGTACCAGAGGAAACATTAGGCGGGAGAGGTGCCTGAGGAGACATGAAGTAGGAGAGGCACCAGAGGAGACATGAGCCCGGAGAGGAGCCGGAGGAGACATGAAGCAGGAGAGGCAATGCAGGAGACATGAGACAGAAGAGGCTCTGGAGGAAACATGAGGCGGGAGAGGAGCCTCAGGAGACATGAAATAGGAAAGGCACCATTGGAGACATGAAACAGGAGAAGAGTCAGAGGATACATGAAGCAAGAGAGGCACTGCAGGCTGCTGGTCCTATTAGCTGCTGCTGGCCACCATCTTTATCCTCAGGTAAGGGGGAGATGGGGTACAACCACATATATGGGCAGCAATGGTGGGACTCACCTGCCTTTTGATCTGCAGTACCAGGGCTGGCCAGCGGGTGCTCCCAGCAATCAGAGACTCAACCTTTCAGCCAGCTAACACCTGGAACTGATTATACTGGTGTATTTAAGGGATGGCCAAGACTTGCAGACTCTGCCTTGGTGTTGTGTTTGTCCTGGGCCCTGTATCTGTCCTGCATCCTGTTTCTGTTCCTTTGCTGACCCTGCCTGATCTGAACCGCTGCTGACTTCTCCTGCTCTGATCCCGGCTCGCTCCTGACCATCCCTCTGCCTGACCCTCTGTACCATGCTGCTTGTACCTACCTGTTCTGATCCCTGGCTTGTGACCCTGACCATCCCTCTGCCTGACCTCTGTACTACGCTGCTAGCTACCTGCTGAACCTGGCCTGTGACCCCGACCCATCTCCGCTTGCTCCCCCTGTACCTACCTGCCCGATTGATATTGACCCGGCCTGCCTGACGACGCTTGCTTGTATGTACTGTTATCTGTGGGTGGTTGGTTTGGTTTGTTTGCACTGTATTTATGTTTAGTATTGCACTGCGTTTATGTTTGTATTGTTTAGTGTTAATAAATATTATATTGTTTATAACATATCTGAGGTCTGCGTTTCCCTGCGTCAGTCACACACCTCTGGTCACACTTGGGAGCCCTGACATTACACCAAGGCCCATCCTGACCAGAAGTGGCTGCACAGGGAAGCCATCTTGGCTTGTTGCTGGGAAGGATGGATCTGGATGAGGTTGCGTATTTATAATCTGCTAGTGTTGATGACAGAGAGTATGCTTATCAGACTCTGAAGGAGTATCCCCGGGATGAACTGCTAGAATGTATACGGCTCGCTCATGTTCTAGTAGATCAGGGCACAGAGTTCTCTGAGGTGCAGCCATTGATTAAGGTTTGTGCAGAGTTGGTTTCATCTGGTTCCCCCCGAATGCAGGGATGAATTTTTGCCACCATTTAGTGCAGACCAGGTAGAGTCCCTGGTGTGGTTATTAGAGGATGATGTGGATTACTTTCTGGAGCGTTATTCTGCATGTTCACCACAGACACTAAGAGATTGTATAAACGCAGTGCAGTCATTGACCAGACAGGCTTTGTGTAAGCTCAGCTTTGTTCAACCCATACTGCAGACATGGACAGACTTGTTGCACCCAGCCTCAGTCAGCTTACAAAGACCCAGTCCTGCTTCTAATCTATTTCCTCAAAGCTCTACTCCTGTATTCCCAACAACTCCCCCAGTTACAGCCCAGTATACCCTGCTATCTACCGCATGTCAGTACCCTGTTTCCCCCACTCGCTGCACCTATCCTGCCTTTAACCCTGTAAAGAAGCCCTCTGTAGCAACTGTTCCCTCCCCTGTTCCATCCTCCAGCTCTTCTCTGTCTCCAGCTGCTCCATTCGTTTGCAGACCTGCGTTTACTTGCAGTGCTCCAGTAGTTAAAACCAGAAAAAAGCGAAAATTCTTTCCAACCAATACCATCCTGCCAGTATCCAAACGGTGAAACCTGCCTTCCGTGGTTCAGCCTGAATCCTCTACTCGGCCTGAAGCCTCTACTCGGCCTGATGCCTCTACTCAGCCTGAAGCCTCTACTCAGCCGGACGCCGGCATTCAGCCTGATGCCTCTACCCAGCATGATGAACTGATCCAGCCTGACGATCCTATTAGGCCAGTTGACTCGATGCCCGCTGTTGATCCAGATGATCCGGTACCTGATCCGGTGCCCGCTGTCAAGCCAGACAATCCGGTACCTGATGACCCCGGTGCCCACTGTCGTGCCTGTTGACTCGGAGCCCACTGCCTTGCCAGATGACGCGGTGCCCGCTGTCGAGCCAATGACCTGATGCCTGGTGACCCAGTGCCCGCTGTCATACCTGGTGACCCGATGCCCGCTGTCGAGCCAGACAATCCGGTACCTGATGACCCGGTGTCCACTGTCGTGCCTGTTGACTCGGAGCCCACTGCCTTGCCAGATGACGCGGTGCCCGCTGTCGAGCCAAATGACCTGATGCCTGGTGACCCGATGCCCGCTGTCCGGCCAGACGATTCAATGTCTGTCCCAGTGCCCGCGGTCATGCCAGTTGACTCGGGAGCCCACTGCCTTGCCAGATGACGCGGTGCTCGCTGTCGAGCCAAATGACTTGATGCCTGGTGACCCGATGCCCGCTGTCCAGTCAGACGATCCAATGTCTGACCCAGTGCCTGCGGTCATACCAGTTGACTCGGAGCCCACTGCCTTGCCAGATGACGCGGTGCCCGCTGTCGAGCCAAATGACCTGATGCCTGTGTGACCCGATGCCCGCTGTCCAGCCAGACGATCCAATGTCTGACCCAGTGCCAGCGGTCATGCCAGTTGACTCGGAGCCCACTGTCGTGCCTGGTGACTCGGTGCCCGCCGCTCCGCCTGGGGGCCCGAGACCTGTCGCTCCGCCTGGGGGTCCCGGCGCCCCCGCCGCTCCGCCTGGGGGTCCGGCGCCTGCCGCCCCACCTGGGGGCCTGAGACCTGTCGCTCCGCCTGAGGGCCCGAGACCTGTCACTCCACCTGGGGGTCCGGCGCCCGCCGCTCCGCCTGAGGGCCCGAGACCTGTCGCTCCATCTGGGGGTCCGGCGCCCGCCGCTCCGCCTGGGGGTCCGGCGCCCGCCGCCCCGCCTGGGGGTCCGGCGCCCGTCGCCCCGCCTGGGGGCCCGATGCCCGTCGCCCCGCCTGGGGGCCCGATGCCTGTCGCCCCCGCCTGGGGGCCCGGCGCCCGCCGCTCTGCCTGGGGGCCCGATGCCTGTCGCCCCGCCTGGGGGCCCGGTGCCTGTCACCAGTCTTTGATATCCCGCCAGTTACCAGACCCGGGCGGTGGAACAGCTAGGACTGTTTGGAGCGTCCTGAGGCCGCTCCTTGGGGGGGGGGTACTGTCAGGAATGGACTGGCCAGCAATGGTGGGACTCACCTGCCTTTTGATCTGCAGTACCAGGGCTGGCCAGCGGGTGCTCCCAGCAATCAGAGACTCAACCTTTCAGCCAGCTAACACCTGGAACTGATGATACTGGGGTATTTAAGGGATGGCCAGACTTGCAGACTCTGCCTTGGTGTTGTGTTTGTCCTGGGCCCTGTATCTGTCCTGCATCCTGTTTCTGTTCCTTTGCTGACCCTGCCTGATCTGAACCGCTGCTGAACTTGTCCTGCTCTGATCCCGGCTCGCTCCTGACCATCCCTCTGCCTGACCCTCTGTACCACGCTGCTTGCTACCTGTTCTGATCCCTGGCTTGTGACCCTGACCATCCCTCTGCCTGACCCTCTGTACTACGCTGCTAGCTACCTGCTGAACCTGGCCTGTGACCCCGACCAATCTCCGCTTGCTCCCCCTGTACCTACCTGCCCGATTGATATTGACCCGGCCTGCCTGACGACGCTTGCTTGTATGTACTGTTATCTGTGGGTGGGTGGTTTGGTTTGTTTGCACTGTATTATGTTTTAGTATTGCACTGCGTTTATGTTTGTATGGTTAGTGTTAATAAATTACATTGTTTATAACATATCTGAAGCCTGCGTTTCCCTGCGTCAGCCACACACACCTCTGGTCACACTTGGGAGCCCTGACACCTAGTGACGCTACTGAACCATCCAAAATGTTTTGGCTTTAGTTCTATTGTAAATAGATTTCATTTGAATGGACCTTTTATACATTCGATGTCCCTCTGCATGTTTTAATAGCACTTGCAGTGTTTATCTGGATAATCGCCTGTCCCTTCCCTCCGTTGGCAGGAAATGTGTACAGTACAGGAGATAAAAGTCAGGCGGTGCTCCAGCCGCAGAATGAGACATTTCCGAAGTCTATTCTTGGTAAAGCGCTTCCCACAGAAGATTGCCTACCTTACTAGGTGGAGATAAACGTATGCTTTAAAAAAAGGCGATTGCGTCGGGTGTGATTATCGTACTTTGTATTCTGTGTTTTCCAAAATGCCAAAATAAATTCGGCTTTATCTTCTCTTAGAGCTTGCTTACACAATTTGTGAGTCAGGAGGGACGCTCCAGGAAAGCACTGAATAAGTATTTTGTTAGGAGCTGTGATTCATTCCATTGCACCTCTGCAGATATTTTGGTTACCAGGGCGAAGGTACGGATAAGGAATACATTTGACAGAAACATCCAACTACTAAATATCCAACTAGAACAAATATTTAGAACTTCTTATCGAATGGTTATAGGGAGTCACAGGTGCCACATACCTGGTTGGAGGCTGAAGTGATGAGGGGGGCTTCCCTTGCAGCTATGGTCCCAACATCTCTGGAGGTCATAACTGGGAGTGCAAGGCATACAGGAACATGGGTGCTGATAGGCCGGGTTGCTGGTGGTTGCTCCTGGTAGTGTCTGGCTGGGCATTTCCGCGGCAGGTACGGACCGACCTCAGAAGGAACACAAGGCACGCTGTGGCTGAGCAACTAGTACTAAGAACATAGGATTGCCTGAAACTGTGATTGGAGCAAATCTGGAAGATGACAGAATTCCCCATGAAGAATGAATCTTCATGAAAGTGAAGAGCATACATGGGAGGAGAATGGATATAGGACACAGGGGTTTGTGAGGTGCCCATTTGTGTCTTTTAGGTAACTTTTTTAGGAAAACAATACATGGAAACCGGGCCAAAACTAGGGGTGGGGGGCATGTGCCCTGGAGACCTGATTGAGAGGAGTGCCACTGCCAGAAATCCCTGGAAGAGAGTGGCAGTCTTCTCCCAGTCATGCCCACCTCTCACCAGCCTCAGTACCACCCCTCCAGGGCCCTGCTTCCCCTCCCTGCCACCAGTGCCTGACCTGCCTGCAGTGTTACTGCTCCCTTCCACTGAATGAGTGGAGCCTCCACAGGGTCACCAAGAACCGGTGTAGTGTCTTGACGCTCTACAAGCAGAGCAAGGTGGCCACCCTCCAGAGCCAGAAGGAGGCCACCATCAGCACTTTTTCTAGGAAAACAATGCATACAAACTGGGTCGAAACTAGGGGTGGGCAGAAGTGGGGGAGGGGGGCATGTGCCTTGGGTGTCTGATTGAGAGGAGTGCCACTGCCAGAAATCCCCAAGAGTAGCGGTCTTTTCCCAGTCATGCCCACCCGTCACCACCATCTCTCCAAGGGCCCTGCTTCCCTTCCCCGCCACCTGTGCCTGACCTGCCTGCAGTGTTAACGCTCCCCTCTACTGAATGAGTGGGGCCTCCGCAGTGTCACCAAGAACTGATGTAGTTATACCGGGTCCTGGAGGGTGTCTTGAAGCTCCACCCTCCAGAGCCAGAAGGAGGCCACCATCAGCACTTTTTCTAGGAAAACAATACATAGAAACTGGGTTGAAACTAGGGGTGGGCAGGAGTGGGGGAGGGGGCATGTGCCTTGGGCGCCTGATTGAGAGGAATGTCGCTGCCTGTCATGCCCACCCCTCACCAACTTCAGCACCAGCCCTCCAGGGCCCTGCTTCCCCTCCCCGCCACCAGTGCCTGACCTGCCTGCAGTGTTACCAGTCCCTTCTACTGGACAAGTGGGGCCTCCGCATTG